ATGGGTCAATGTGTAGATTTTTGGGTCAATGTGTAGCCTTTATGGGACAATGTGTAGATTTGTGTCAATGTGTAGATTTATGGGTCAATGTGTAGCCTTTATGGGTCAATGTGTAGATTTTTGGGTCAATGTGTAGCCTTTATGGGTCAATGTGTAGATTTTTGGGTCAATGTGTAGCCTTTATGGGTAGCAAATAGTTGGACGAATCACGTGACCGTTCTTAATAAAAGTATTCTTTTTCTTTTAGATTGTTATTCGAGATGCCAAACGTGACCTAACTGAAGACGATTTGAGGGATTTTGAACATGAATTACAACAGGGAGAGCTTGCATTAAAACTCTCTATTGGATGGTCAAGCGCTGCTCTGCCTGGATTCGCATTGTTAGGACGAACAACTTGGAAAGCATTCAAATTTAACCAGGTAAGACAACATTAATTATCACTTTTAAGAGTCTATGTATTTCATATTCGAAAAATACCTTCCTATTACTGGGTTTCAACCAGCTGATTAAAGTCTTTGAGTCTGGACTCAGTCACTGGACTCTGAAGATGACTTCCGCTCAGATAGGTTGTCGAAACGTCAGTCACCACCAGAATCTCTCGGTAACTCTCATGCTGAAATTATTTCTTATAGTTTACGAATTGTTTATTCAGTCACAAGGCTTAGATGTGATTCACTGAAATAAGTACACAACTTAAGTACACTACACCGCAGGGTTAAAATTAAGGATTTAAGATCTTCTCGCTATAATTATGTTAATTTGATGAATGAAAAGTACCAAATAGATCAAAGAAAAGGTTTTAAAAAATATTGTCTAACTTTACATGCTGTGTTCAATATGTCTCAAACATCGTTGGCAGTTATTAAAAAGACAATGATGGGCTTCATTTGAAATTATTTTAATTTGTTTTAGCTTTATCAGACTCTGAAATCAACCCAACTCGAAACATTACTCAAAGCATCACCTAGAGGAAAAGAATTAGTTGGCTTTACTCGTACCTCTGCTAAAGGATTTATCAAAGGCATTGCCAAGACTCGATTTGCAGCTAAAACAACAACGCTGACCAAAGGAATGAAGATCGTTAAATATGGTGGCTGGGTTATGTCACTATTCAGCATCGGTGAGCCTCTAAATTATATCTTGAGTTTAAGATTTTTGGGTAAAAAAATTTGGGTGACATGTATTATAGACAACACTGGGTGACTTGTATTAGACAACACTGGGTGACTTGTATTAGACAACACTGGGTCACATCTTTTAGACAACACTGGGTGACTTGTATTAGACAACACTGGGTGACTTGTATTAGACAACACTGGGTGACTTGTATTAGAAAACACTGGGTGACTGTATTAGACAACACTGGGTGACTTGTATTAGACAACACTGGGTGACTTGTATTAGACAACACTGGGTGACTTGTATTAGACAACACTGGGTGACNATTAGACAACACTGGGTGACTTGTATTAGACAACACTGGGTGACTTGTATTAGACAACACTGGGTGACTTGTATTAGACAACACTGGGTGACTTGCATTAGACAAAATTGGGTGACTTGTATTAGACAACACTGGGTGACTTGTATTAGACAACACTGGGTGACTGTATTAGACAACACTGGGTGACTTGTATTAGACAACACCGGGTCACTTGTATTAGACAACACTGGGTGACTTGCATTAGACAACACTGGGTGACTTGTATTAGACAACACTGGGTGACATGTATTAGACAACACTGGTCCATATGTATTAGACAACAGTGGGTGACTTGTATAAGACAATATTCTTTATTATTATTATCATCATCATCATCATGACCATCATCATCATCATATTATTATTATTATCACTAGTTTTATTCGTTTGTTTGCACGCATGCTCATATTATTATTTCATTTTTAGCAATGGACATTTTTAGCACAGTCTGTATTTTGATGGGCTGTGACAACAAGGTGGATGAAGCGAAGAAGGCCATGGCAACACTACAAGAACCTGAAAAAAATGTCACTGCGATGGAGACAAAGATTAAAGAATATGAAGATGCTATTAAGACAGAGGTGAGTCAAGATCGAAAGAAGTAAAGTCAAGATCAAAAGAAAGACAGACAGACAGACAGACAGATAGCCAGACAGAATGAATAATCTTTATTTATCCACGAAATTTCATCACTTGTTACAACTGGTTTTCATAAGTAGTGCACATAACAATATATACATAGATATATATAAGACAGACAGACACAGACAGACAGACAGACAGAAAGAAAAACAAATTTGAATCGGGGTGACACACATTGCAACAAAATCACGCAACATCGCTTGTGTCAGCCTGCTATATTAAGATATTTGGTCAGCAGTTATACATTCGGTGCAAGCTGATTGGCTGTAAATTTCAAAATGTTGCGCGCATTGTTGTAGGAGTAGAGCGCGATTCAACTTCATATTTATTGCATGCAATGTTGCACCGTGTGTCAGCACCTTTTGGAAAAGCACGACGCGTAGCGGAGTGCTTCTCGACACACCTCGAGTGATCTGCCAATTCCCAAGTGCCAATCCCCAAGTGTACACAGCACAGCAAGCAAGTTTTTTTGCTTCATTTATAAGATACCAATTACATGAATGACCAATCAGAACGCGAGATTTAGAACAGTTATTTTATAATTTGTTATATCATTTCCACTGATGTCAGAAAACTGCTCTATGATTAGAACGCGTTGAATTTTAAAATTACTAACTGTAGTCCTAGATAAATAGCTACTTTTTAAATATCGCTCTAGGAAGCCAATTGCCTTTCATCTTAAACGTTCACCAACAATACATTTGTTGTGGGTTTCTTCGTGCTTTCAGATGGAAGATAAAATCGTAGCAGAGTTAAGAAAAGCGGACCTTCACAACGCCCTTGAACAGGTGAAATTAACCATTAAGAACCTACCCACAGGACAGCGAACATGGTTAACAGAAGATTGTGTAGATTCAATCATTCCAAACGCACTCAAAACCTTCAGTACTTCCAATAACTACGTTGTTCTCAAGGACGACCTCAAATACGTGATCGAAAACTGTGTTTCGCCGTTAAAGTATGCTTACGAATGTCTAATAAGCCGAACGAAAGTCAGGAACAGTGTAAGTACCCGGTGATTTGAAATCTAGGCGCACAATGCATGGTTACCACCACAACGATAACTTCCAAATATCTAACACTTATTAACTGGGAACAATGGAAAGAATGTGTCTTACTGAGTCCCGCGAGGCAAAGCCGAGGGAATAGCCCACTTCCGAGATATGCTTCGCTTATCACGCACAAAGGTTTCAATATGAGGCTACGTGCTAAATTAGATTTATTCTTACCGCCTGTCACGAATGACTGAGCATTTAGCACGTAGCCTCATACTGAAACCTTTGTGCGTGACAAGCGAAGCATATCTCAGAAGTGGGCTATTGAGGCCGAGGGACCATAAAACATACTGCCTTCCAGGGGTTCCAGTAAATAAGTTTTTGTTATACACCGAGAAAATTTTAGAAAAACTTAATTTTTCGGTGAAATCACTTTCGGTTTCGTTACAACAATAACAACGATCATTTATTTGGCACTGTATACTAGAAGTACATAAGTGTTTTTACAAATAATCAGAAAATATAAATGGAATTTATCGTTTTCACTTAGGAGTTCAAATTGTTTGTTTGTAACTGTGTTAATGCTTTGTTGTAGTTCTTTTCGTTTGTCTTTAATTTCCTGAAAGGTACTTATTTCATACTAATTTCGCTCAAATAGGTCTTGGAAAGTTGCCTCATTGGTGCTGGTGAATTTGACGAAATTTATGGAAGCGCATTACAAAAAGAAGGCACGAAAAAAGAGCAATGTATAAAAGACGGCGAGCCTTACACCCCAGAGAATGACTATCTAAAAAGTCTCGAGGAATTCAGTCGAAGAGATGGTTTTTCAATTCCTTGTAGACTGAACAGCGAGCCTTTCAAGGATGACGTCTGCGATAAAAAAAGGAGAGGTAAATCGCCCAAAGAAATAGCTAAAAGTGTTAATATGAATGTAACTGATGTACAGAAGGTGTTAGAAAAGTGCAAACTGGGAGAGGATTACTTTAGCGCAGTACAAATCTCCCGCGTTTGCACGATGAAGTCATTTTGTGATGATCTTGAGATTATTGCAGAAGATTTCGAAGATGAGTTTAGAAAGTCAATCTCAATCGAGAAAATCAAAACTATGCCATGTCCTGATGAGAAAAAAAATGATGACTGTCCTATACTTTACGACTGAGCGAGTACACGATGCTACAATATAACTTAAATGAGTTAATTTAACATGTTAAAATCGGGTATGAGTTATTTTCACCTCTTTTTAAAGTGTAATGATAAAAAGTAAAAACTGAATGTAAGAATAACTGAAGTAGATTAAACTGAGTTAAATACTCACTCTTTCTAGTCCTTGTGTTTATCCTTTGCCAGAATAAATGTATAATTGCGAATTAAATTAGTTAACTGGCGTCGTTAAAGGCAGTTTAGTGAAGCAGTTTGACAAACCCCGATCAAAACGTTCAAGATGGCGGACGTACATCATTGTCCTAAGCGCTAAGGATCATGGGACTTTAAGGTGCGAATTGGGTTTTGGGTATTGTTTCAAAAAATTCAAACTCAATGAAAGCTTAACTAGAGAAGTCAAAAGTGACCCTCGTGAGAAGACGTGAGGTTGTTTTAACGGTAAAAAATAATTGCAAAAGCAGTTAATTGGCACAAATTCAAATTCAATCTGCTTTGGGCTACCCGTGGTCAGAAAGCATAAGAAACGACGGCCCAAATTTTTCCGCAAAGGGTACGAAACGTCGTAAATGAATCATTAAGGAACCTCAACTTGACTTTTTTAAAGTTTATTATTAAAACTCGTTTGTAATATTAATTTAATTTATATCGAAATCTTTCAGAGGCCTTTTGCAAACACGAGAGCGGGAACCAGATAGAGAGGAGGGGTGGGCTTGACCTGTACCGGCCCCCGCACCACCCTTAGAAGGGAAAATTCCGGAAAAAATCGATCTTCAAAAAGCATACGATTTATCGTGTCCACTGTCGACTACATGCAATTGGTAAAATTCGACTTCACAACAGCGCCGAAAACGCATAAAATAAAGTGCCTTGCCTAGAAGAATACTTCTGACTTCCAACAGAAGTTTGACTTGATTAGATTGTGAAAAAGAAGACTTGGTTTGCTTGCTTGAACAAACAAATTTTGGTAAACTTGATAGTAAACAGCTTCTCGAAGATGATTCGAATAGAAACGTCGATGACCATCCAAGCCTAGAACGAAGGTGAAGTAATTCTGCTGAACAAAGTACCGAAGGCTCCGAAAATCATCCAAAGCCCACCCACGGTTTCCACAAATCGAGTTCACAGCTCGATTATAAAGCGCCCAGGACCCACACGGCCAAGTTAAACACAACAACTTCGTCAAGATTAGTGTCTCTGCTTGCCGTGCTCGCAGCAATAATAATGATTAATAATGGCAATTGAACTGATTGGAGTGCAATTTGGTCTGAAATCAAAACGAGTGAGTGATTACAAAATTACATGATTGCGTAGTTCAATTACCACTTAATTATGTCCATTTTGAAATTAGTATTTGGTATTATTGTCTTCTACAGACTTGACTTAGCAATGGTAACTAAGAGAGGTAAGACCCATGAGGTATGTTTTTGTAACGATCATCAAGCGGCACCAGCTCTTCTTCACTCATGACGAACAAGCCATTCACCTTCATTCTTTGGACCTCAATAATAGATTCAACGCGATGTTCAAAGATAGTCCAGTTTCCTTCACTATCATCATATTGGCCTGCTGTCGTCAGAAGTCGTCTCCAGTCTTCCTTATACATGCCTAAAGCGGCTAGACCCCTATGATCCCATAATCCTTCAGGTTCACCGGGGCTTGCTCCTGGTACAAGGTAAAAGGCTAACGGACTGAACACCATTTTTCCTTGAAAACAATGCTGTTATTAAAAGAGTATAATAAAAAATAATAATATTAAAAACTACGTTAAAAATTAAGTGTATAAAGTAAGTGTATGAAGTACATTATTAAGTGTATGAAGTACATTAATGGTAATTTCATAAATTTGATCTCTGCCTCGATCCCTGGTATAGAAAATTGAGCTCAGCACCAGATGAAAGTGGAAGTTAGAAATGCATTCAGGTTTTGCCGGGGAGCAGGGGCAGAAATAAGTTTACACTTGGAAAAAATAAAATTCTCAAATTTGTTGCGAAAAGTAAAACGCCTACTTCTCGCCACGATTGCGACAGCAATGGCGAGACACTTTTTGTTATGCGGCTAATCAAAACTTGAGAGAAAAGCTGCAAGAAATGTTACCTTCCAACAACACCTTAAATTCCATTTATTTTGTACGCGTGTGTGCGTTTCCCAGTGCAATTATTACCGTCCCACCAAGTTTATACACCTTTGAATAAATTAGCTATATAAATCACAAATCATCACCAATCATCATCATTATTTTTTGTTGATTAAATCCACTTACTCTCTCCCCGATCATGACCGCACTGTACTAGAATATGCTATAGAATATGCTTCATGGTGATGGTCTCATGATGGATGCTACTTACCTTTCTTGTCTGATCGAATATATCCAAGGGCAATTTCACATAAGGATCTACCAGCAGAGATATAGTTTTCTCGTGTACTATTGCATCAAGGGCTTCTTGGATGGCCTTGGCAAAGCTGAAGGCTTCAGTCCGGGGAATGAAGATGTGCCTTGGCAAAGAAGTGGCTGATAATACCCCTTCCACGTCCAAAACCTTTGGCCCGTAATGAACAATTGTTACTTGAATATTATTGTTTGCTGTTCTTCGGTAAATATCTGCAGGAAATTAAACAATAATAATGCAGCGCTTTAGAATGAGATCAGAGCCCATCTCATGCACTAGATTCATTTTCAGATCAGTAGTCCATTACTAGGAGCATCCGACTACCATACTGGATTTGCCGGAAGCTAAAAACCTATAAGTAGATGTGAAGCTGCCTCCCTCAGTTGTTAAAAGAAAATTAAGTGGCAGCCCGCTTATCTTTACACAGGGATATAAATACTCTGGAAGACATACAACACTATAGAAGATCGTTTTGAGGGTAAGAACGAAGGGAGTGAGTGGGGTGGGTAGGTGGTACTTAATCACCCTAACCTATCCCCAGAATAGACCTTTTTAACTTAAATTCGTATGCAAATTGCCCATTTCAGATCACATGACATTCCCTTGGGAAATATTCTTTTATGACTAACATGTTAAAATATTCACACATGAAAGAATCAACTCCTAAGAGTGGCTTCACATGGTCTGAAGTGTGTTCAACAAACAAGGAAGGTAAAGAGGTGTATAGTACGTAGTAGCACGGTGCGGAATGCAGCTAAATTTGAAAGACACAACAATAGGTTTCCAATTCTCAGGAGATTGAAATTCTTATGTTTTAGTCCTCCAAATTGAGCTGCTTTGACGTCACATGCATGCAAAGGTTCTATTTGCCTTGTTTGTACATGTTATTGCATAGTAACCATACCTTCAATGTTGTCTATTAAACTTATTGCCCATTTGCCATGCTCAGCCTTTGCAACGATAACAATCACTTGGACAAGAACATTTTCGTTCCAATCTAGTTCATCTGGTACGCATAGAGAGTCTTCTACCCAACTCTTGTAAACATAACTTGCTGAGCGCGGCTTGATTTGCCTTGTGTTGTCTTTGAGTGTTAGGTCTACTAGATAAACATCTCGAAGATTGTGGTACTTCTTATGTTCAACAGCGTTGATAGATTCTAATTGAAACCTTCTGCAAATATAAAGGAATAACAAATATATAATGCTGTACTACTTTAAAGACCTAAATCTACTGTTTTCCGTTTTTCAGACCACGTGCCATTCCCTGGGGTATCATTTTTTTTTGTTTAACGGATGCACATGAGAAGACACATGAATATGGATACAACTCAAACAACTCCCCGTAACTTGAGTAACCCCCTTTCAAAAATCTTAGTTCAGTCCTTAATTCCATTAGACTTGGGCTCTGGATTCTATATCCTGGATTATAGATGCCAAAACCCAGCTTGTATATAAATTTGACACGCACGAAAACTTGTAAGTAAGAATTGAAATATTAATTAAAGCATATGCCATACCTTGGATTTCTTTCCTCCATTAGTGTCATAAACTTGCGCACAACAGCCTTGGCTTTTTTCTTTGACAATATCCCTGCGCGCTTGCCCTGAAGGGCTTTCAAAAACGTATTGTCATTACTCTTATCTTTGATCTTGTAAGCCCAAGGTCCTGGATACACATCAGTTATTAACTGTTGGGAACCCTGCGTAATATTAGGGGTCGAGTTTCGAACTGGTCGTAGTTTTTGTAAAGGGCATGTTCCAATGGCACTTTGTATCAATGTGCGATCAAGTCGTTGAGTATCTATGTATTCAGCTGGTGATTCTAGGCTTAATTTATTTTCTCTTTGCATTTTGAATGCTGCATTTAAGCTTTTGAATTGTTCCCCAACGGGAGGGATGAATGTTAATAAATGTTTCGACATTCGCATTAAAGGCAAAAGATACGCGCCCGTAATGATGTGAAAGCTCTGGCTTCCAGCTCGATTCCACGACACAGCAACAAACCCATCGCCCACCGCCTGCTTGTGAACCACTTGGATAAAGTATTTTTTGCATTTCTGAAGGATTATTTGATCAGAAACTTGATTGACATACTTGGCGTGCTGACCAAGGCTGGTCCACCCCGGAGCATACCCATCACCAACTTGAGCAACTCTCCTTACATTCTCTGCGCGCTCGTCTGTGCTGATCCAAAACTCAGACGAATCGTCTGAAGACAAAGCGAATCTATATTCTCCCGTAATATCCACGTGTAGATATCCAACTATCCATTGACCATAATAAGCTTTTTTGATTTTAACAAAGGCGCTAGGTGCCACTAAGAACTTAGATGGTTGCCTTGGAAACAGTGGTTGTGTGAGAAATGAATTAACACTGAAACCGGAAATATTTTCCCATAGAAGTACATTTAAATATCCAGCTTTTTTCGTCTCAAAATCATAGTTTTGTAAGTCAGGTTGTTCCGCATATTTCGAAGCATTGCAGGCTCTTTTCCAATCAACTATTTCTGGGATGTACTCGTCGCTTTTAAACTGAAGAGTATGAACCAAACGATTTCGGTCAGCACTAGACAAGAGCTGAAATTGAAGGTAGATCAAGGCTACGCAACACGCTAAAATTATCTTGAAAATCAACTTATAAGAAGCTCTACTTCTGCACATGCTGTGTATAGAGAGCTTAAATTTCAGAGAAAGAAGGGAATAACGCTGAGATATCGACCACAATATTCCAACTAGCCACCACTGGCTTGGAACGAAGATAGGTTTACACGAAGGCGAACATGGTTTGTGGCTTACAGTTCCTTTAGTTCTGCACTAGCCTAGAATACCAAGAAAAATCTCTGTTATAACCACCGTCTGAAAAGGTGTCAAATTTCTCAGAAAATAAAGAAACTATACAGACTTCTTACCTGTGAAAAATTTTCATTCCAGCTAGAGGCTAGGGGACAATAGCTTCCTGTTGTTCGAAAGGATCCAAGGTATTAAGGCTATACATGCATTATTAATAAGGTCTCTTGTCTCTTTGCAACTTACAAAAAAACAAACAAGTTGAGTTTATAATTATATTCACTTAACTTACTCAATTTTTACAACATTTTTTAAGATATCGTCGTGAGATTTTTTACAAATGTTTAACCAAGACATCGACGCTCGTGGAGAAGAAGGTTTTTGTATTTTTTGCCCCATAAAACTAAATGAAATTAGCAAAGCATCCCCACTAAGTACCGTAATTTAACATAGAGAGGTCTCGTGCACCGCAAGTGCCGATTCAGGTTCTTTTTAAATAATTTAAAATCACGTTTAGGCAAGAATATCGGGAAAAGAATGCTTTAATCTTAAATATTTTTATACATTACCGGGTTGTTTAACTAAAAGGATAATATCTTTAACAACCGATTTGCTAATAATGTCAATTTATCTAAAATGATTTATTCAAAACGATTTTTCCTGCTTTTGCCGGCGCGCAAAATGCTGACGAGACGAATTGCTTTGTGCAAAAATCGACCGTACAACCTGCTTACGACTGCTTCATACATATATTCTATATTTTATTCTAACTTGGAATACAGCATGCTTTAATTTTAGTCAAAAGTTTGAAGTCACTATGCACTTCTGTTAATGTTTTTTGAAGCATAAATGGTAAAATTTCGATGAATGAAAAGACAAATAAACTGAGAGTTATAATGATTCTGGCCTTTGTATTGCAATAAAAAGAATCAATGTAGTTAATAATCATTACAATTCAGCTTACGAGAACCATACAAAGCAATAATTTGGTATTGCAAAGTGAAAACTTTTCACCCCACCTGTTGAGCCTTATTTTTACTCTTCAAAATTCTGGAATTAAAACAACGAAAATGATATGTATACTAATAGGAATATTGGGTATCCCGGCAGAGAGACAAATGCAATGAACACTGGAAAATTCATTAAAATTTGATATGTTTAAAATGATAAATAATAAATGTCAACTTCAGCCAAAAAATTCGGTGGATCTATGCATTAGAAAGGACCAAAAATTTTCTACAAAGTTTTTATAACATAAGAAGCCTAAGTATTCCGAGTTTTTTTTTTCTTTTTTTACTGCTCTGCCATTTTGTTTTCTTTCTATATTTTAAATGTTTATCTTTTATATATGTTATTTTGAAGCAAGTCTGATGACGTAATCCATTGTTTACATTTTGCTTCATTAGTAAATCAGCTTCAACTCTGAACTGTCTTTCCCCCACTGCCTCATGCTTCAGGGCTAAGTTATAAGGAAATAACGATCATGAAAATACCGATATCTTAATGCTACAAACTATATCTCCAAGTACCCTATTACAAAAGGCGAACTGGTGTTTTTGATGGCTTTATTATCACAGTATTTAGGCATATGAAATTTATAATGTTGATCGAGCGGAATCCCAGTGTTTTAATTTTTTGGGAGTTCCTTTGTCAAATGCCAGGTTCGTAAGCTAAATTCAAAATGGTGGACAATGTCAAATGTTCCATCGCTATAACATTTTCAAGTTTTGATTTCATATTTTCGGCATTTTATCAATAAAAATACATACATATATACGTATATCGTCTGTATCAAAAGGTTTTACATCACTACAAGGACGATATACATATCAGTAAAATAATCTGTCAACATGGCACATGTAATCATTAAAGAAGTTTTTTTCTAAATCCAACCAAAATGGAGACTATAAAACTGGGAATATATAGTCATGAGATACAATCAGCCATTTTGAGTGGTCGAGGAAAAAACTGGAAAGAGTTCCTGTGCAATGAATTGTGCAACTGTTTTAATTTACATATTTCCAAGATGGCGTAGGCTATTTTGTAACCTAAAAGTCCCGCAATGCTATGCAATGCCAGCTCGACCCAGTTTTTTCTCAACCTTTGAATGGCTAACAGAACGGAATACAGGTACCAAGGGCGGATCCAGGGTTTTTTTGAAGGGGGGTCTCAGGGGTAATTTTGTGGGCAAAGGAATCCCAGTCGCATTTTTACCACAGGAAGCCCATTTGACCTCAGGAATGACAGGGGGGTCGCGACCCCCCCGACCCTCCCCCTGGATCCGCCCTTGGGTACTGTATTAATATGACATGAAGTCAGAGAGAGGATGAGATTGGAATCGAGTTTACAATCGTTGGCCTCGGTTTTGTATATAGAATATTCACGTGATTAAGTGAAGGTCCGTGGAACAGACCAGTTTCGTACCTGTGTCTAAATATTCACAAATACGAACGATAAAGTAAAGAATGCACAACTTCAACAATACAAACACTTTGAAACTCAACGGACCTTGTGTGACTGGAACACGTGAATATTCTGCACAAAATCGAGGCTAAACCTGTGTAATGATTCTGTAATCAAGAAACACAGCGGTTATTTGGAACTCTAAAATGGTCTATATATTTCAAAGTGTTTGTATAGTCGGTCGAAGTTGTGAATTCCTTACTTTACCGCTGGTATTAGTGTTTTTCTGACACTGAAACGATGAGGCCCTCTCTGAGTAAATGAGTCTGTAATCAAGGAACAGGGAAGTATTTTATGAATTCTAAAAGTGTACGTCTATTCTAGAATGGAATCAAAAGAAAGTCCTTTCCCCTGGCTGAGCTACTTTACAACGCTATACTTTCAAATGTGCGACGACATATCTGACTAAAATGTCTTCAAGGCATATAAGCATTTGTTTTAAGAAATATGATGTGCTCAAAACTATGCGAAACAAAATGGATGGCAAAGTATGCTTTGCGGGAATCTTTTTTGTATGTTTTCTTACTTGAAGGTGATCTGCATTTTAAACACGTTCGTGATTACTGTATTAGCGAGAAATGTTAAAATCTATACATCCCTAGATTTTATTCAGCCACTTTTCTTTCCTTTCTTTCTTGGTTTTTTCTTATTTTTCGCTGATCGCTTTTTTCCTAATTTCTTCTTCGTTTCCTTACCACGCCTTTTTCGATTGCTGTTTTTATCTTTCTTCTTCTTCTTCTTCTCGGTTACTCTAGGCCTTGGCGGTTCTCTTGCTGGTAACCCTATCAAATACTTCTTGCAGTCTTTCACCGCGTGCTTCAGGCCAATCCACAAACACAGTTGTCGAAACTTTAGCGAGCTCAGTCGAATAGCAGCATTGAAGTTCCCCCTCCAGACAGGGGGGCAACCAACGTACGGCCACCAGGGATGATAAGGAACGTTTCGATTACCGGAGAATACCCCGATGATACGGCGGTCTCGAGTACGGGTCTTTTCATCGTAGTGATAAGTGTAGACTCCTGCACCGGAGGAACCAGGTTGCGCGTCACAGCAGTGGAATAACATATCACTGGTTGCTGCTAATATGTAACAGGCTCTAAAAGATTTAAATAAAAAAGCTTAGAGTGATGCGGATATGAGAAACGAAACAGGAAAAACAAGTTTGACCAACGTTCTGCACCCCAACTTGGAAATGTACGTACTGTACGTATTTATTCGTATAAGCGCCGAAGCAATTATTGAATTTTTGGGGGGCTTCATATTTAAATGCGGTGATAATTCGGGGGCGCTGCTCGATTATTATTTGTTTTAGTTGTATCCATATTCATGTTACTTTCCATGCGCAGCCTTTAAACAAAGAAATTACATTCTATAGAGAATAACACGCAACTTGTCGCGCAACACTGTTACGTTAATAGTCCCTTTCAGAGTTCCCGGCGCCATCTCGAAAGGTAGCCGTGCCTTTGCATCAAAGCGAGACGAACGGTGAGCTTGTAATGATAGAGGCGCGCATCTCATGTGTTTGTTAGGTCTCTCTCTTAAGTTCTTTTTTCCGGATTTCCTCCCTTAGCAATTAACCAAACACGCTAAATTCCAATTCAATAGACCTAATCGGCTAACGTGTTGCTATGTACGTTACCACCCAATTCAAACCTTCTGGAATAAGTTTCATTGTTCGTTATATTTTGGTTTCACAGTTGAATTCGTAGAGACAAACGCTTCTATTCCCAGAAGGTTTGAATTGGGTGGTAACGTACATATCAACACGTTAGCCGATTAGGTCTATCTCTGAGTTAGTCGTGCCCTGACTTGATCAGTCCAGAGGTTGTTTCAGGGTTCATTCTGTGAGTTAGTCGTTCCGTGACTTAGATCAGCCCAGAGGTTGTTTCAGGGTTCATTCTGTGAGTTAGTCGTTCCCTGACTTTGATCAGTCCAGAGGTTGTTTCAGGGTTCGATAAAATTTGACATTGATTTGATAGTGTAAAACCGTTGTTTACTCACCTGTACCATAAAGTGTTTCTAGGCTTGTCATCTTCAAATGCTGTGAAGTGTATCTTCGTCATTCTTCCAAACCTGTTGCCCTGACTGAATGATACAGACATGAAATCTCGCTTGTGACGATGAGCAAGCTTAATGATGGCGTAGTCAAACCTTTGACAAAGAAAAAATGGAAAACGAGAGTTGGTTTATTTCAGCAGAAAACTTACAATTACAGTTTACGCAACTTGCCGGCGAACCTACGACCATAGTTAATTTTAACTATGCTACGACTAATGTAGAATCAGGGGCAGATCCAGGATTTTTTCAAGGGGGGGGGTTGTAGCATTGGTTGAGGTACTTGTTTGGCGGGAAAGTAGCACAGGGTTCCCAAACGGAAGTAGRTCTTATGATAATGATTATTTGCTGCAGGCAAGCATGGTTGTTTCAGGTCCCACACACGGCGTATAGAAAAAAAAGCGAGCGAAATGTGTTTGGCACCCCTGTTTTAATAAAACTCGCGATGCTGCTGGTGTTGTCATGAAAATAATAATAATAATAATAATAATAATAATAATAATAAATCACGATGGCTCTCATAGGGGGGGTTGCAACCCCCAAAACCCACCCCTAGATCCGCCACTGAGAATCAATCAATCAAGCTGTTTAAAAACAGCTTTATTAATTTCAAAGTGAGTATCAATTTTTTGGACAAATAGTCTACATTATTAGAATACAAACTTTATAGTTGATCAATTATTATCATATCTTTTATTTGTAATATCGCGTTATCCATAAATCTGTTTAAGATTTTGCAAGTTTGATACTTAATAAACATTTGTTATCCGGAGTTAGTTTTTTTGCTTTGGCCATCAGGACCTTTTCCAGATTATTTCTCGAGAAGAATGTCTTAAAAATTCAGAGACCGGTTAATTCAGTGCCGCTTGTTCTCGCTAAATGTTCCGAACTGTCATGATTTCTTTGCTCTGATTGGTCGGATTGTTCAATATATTTTGATTGGCTGAGTAATTCTTAAAGAAAAAGATGACGCCCAAACGGTAATAAAGAGCCCTTGGATTTAGAACACAGAATATAAGATCATCACAGCGCTTGTTAGGTTCCTCATTTGCGGGGAAAACCATCGAATCCAAGGAGAGACCTAACGACGAGCCATGGGTACACTCCCGTCTACGCCACCCGTCATCCCCTAAAGAAAACCTTCAGAATATAACTGACCTAAGCGTCAAGACATAACTTACGCTTCTTTGAAATTACGGAAGCTATTTTTAGCCACAATCAGTTTTTTTTGTGGACCAGTATTAAGTCACGTGGGCTAGCCTAGCAAATCTCGTCTACAGCAAGCAAGATGGAAAATAAGTCAAAATGTTTGTCAGCGTTAATTCTTTCTGAAGTCATGCCAAACTTTGTGATAATCCGGGTACTTTTCTTAGCCGGAGTTTTTTGGCATTATCGGTTGAATTCTTTCACCAATCCCAAAGGTATTCAAAGAAAACAGCAAGTTTTATCAGTGAAGCGGCCCTACAAAAGATAAAAATACAGCGGAACGTAAAGTCTTTTTGTTGACTGAAATAAGCGGATTAAGGTTTATATGTTGTCAGTGTTCAATGAAAAAATACATTGTTCTTGAACTGTGACCAATTTATATTTATATATTCTCATAATAATTTTTCTTTGAAGAATAAGAAATTAAAGAAACTACGATATATACATAGTAATGCAGGAAGAGCCATTGTTCATGATCTAAACATTTTAAGAACGAAGAATGAAGCATATTTCTTTAGTTTCTAAACAAACAGAAAGCCCTTGAGTTGTTGTTTCACCTTGACATATATCAAAGGCTAATTACGATTTATTAGCGCTAATTATCTCGCTAGTTTATTAATTTAATTATCGTTAATTATATAGCTCACCTTGAAGCATCTGTATCGTTGCCTTGTACCCATGCTAGAGGGAGCTTAGCATGTGTAGCTCCGATCCAAGATAGAGTTTTGTTGGGCTGTAAGAGTCCGACACGAAGTGAGCGAAATCCCTTAGTGTAGTCCTTTCCATTATGTAGACAGTGAGCTGCAGTTAGGACATGTCGGGGAGACACTAACGTACCGGTACATCCAGTAGATATTCTTACCACGACTTCAAAGGGATATCTCTGAGCAAAGCTTCGAGCAGGAATGTAGTATCTTCGATGTTTGCCATAGATTTCTCTTCGATTTCGAAAGTGTCTTCGAGTGAGAACGCTTGGTAGGTCGTCTTTATCCTCAACAAAATGATTTCCAGTTGTGGCGAAGCTTTCTTTAAGCCTGCCAAGTTCCTCAGAGAAGTTTCTGTGAGAAACTTTGACAACTGTAAGCTTCCTCTTTCCTGTCTTCGTCCAAGCTGTCTCGAAAGAAAGCTCTTTCGAAAGCTTTTCTTCCGATTGGTAAATTTCGTCATGATATCCGTGCGCAGAGTAGCGCTCTTTAAAATCGCCGGAGAAATTAGTGTTCGATTCTCGCAATGTTTCCAAGACTTCCAGATCTTTTTCGTTACTCAGAATAAGACTCTCTTCAATCTCGAGACCAACAGTTAACGAGACGAGCATCAGTAGATTATAAGCCACGAATCCAGTTCGGTGCATGTTGGAAGGAGCCGGTATATGCGACTCTCCTGCAATCTTGAGGCAACTAATTTGAAGTGCTGGCAAACACACCGATCATTTGTCACAAAGCCCTTTTGAAAGGTTGTCTTGGAACACGAAAACTATCTGAAAAAGCGAACAAAAAATTCAGTAAACTCTACTAGTCAATATATAGACTCCAACATTATTAAGTTGATCATATTTTCACTGATCTTTGACAGCAAGATTATTAGAAAGATTAGACAGTGTAGCTCTAAAGTCAGTCTAATATAAAACAAACTACATTCTCTCTATTCTTCATGGCACAATAAACAACCATTCATCCGTTTAAAGCTCTTTGTTCGGCATGATTAGCGTGGTCTTAACAGTTGAACCAAAGATCTATTTGCATAAGCGTATTATGACACGGCACAACCTGCAGTATCTAATGAGTGGGTGGATTGTACAGCCATTCAACTTTACGTCACTTTGAACAAAGGACTACAGCAAAATATGGCCCAGTCTTCCACACCTTAACATGTGGTTGCATCAAAGACCAATTTAATCTTATTGATCTATGTTAGGAGGGCGTTAGAACCGGAAGGACAGACACATAGCAAAAGTAATCTTTTTGTCTTTCTCGTTCAGGAGTCAATTAATGCTTTTTTCCGTTTTTGCTGCGCCCGTAGAAAAGACATACTTGTAATAATATTAAATACTTATCTCTTCTATTTCGCCTTCGTCATGCCATAGTTCATAGAGGTCTTTTAACTATGGTCATGCGAGCATACAATAATTCAAATCGCTTTTACAATAGCTCACAGTCTTTATTTGCTTCTGAAGCTTGGTATGCGTAGCGAAGCTAAACCATTGGCAATCGTAATATCTATCTACCAACATATTGTTGATACTAGAATTCCTTGTTAAAATTGAGAAGTTAGAAACAGCTTCGTGAGTTATATATCGCCATAAACCGAAAATATTAACGTTGGTTTTTTTTACACAACGGACAAGAAAGTCATATGTAGGGGAAACAAAAATCAAAGATACCGATCAAATTTACAAATCCTGACCAGCAGCAAAGCAGATGCAAAATGAAAACAAAACGCATTATTTGGATAAAATATCTTCAATTTTTAAAATCCGCAATTTTTAATGTTTACTTTAGGGCAAATAGAATACAGATAGGTAAAAAACGTTTAATACTTCAACAGGAAAAAAATTCTCTCGTCAATAAATCTAAGGTCACGCGCGGTTTGGGAGCTTGGGTGTGAGCAGGGTTGACTGAAAAAGCATGGGAACTAACACCAAAAATTTCGAAAATTGCCACATGCTCACAAACACCAAATGAAAAATAGTTGGAGCAGCTAAAATATAATTTGGATAGATGATAAGGTTCTCTAACCCCATAATTAAATCGATTCAATTTGTTGTTGATATTTTTATTTTCTAAACATGCTCCCGCAGAGCAGAATTGTTTGCATTTTTGATATTCTTGACCAACTGACGGGACCCTCGAGCGAGACAGACGAGACTGGCTGCACTGATAGAGCTCTATGACTTTCAAAACTACAACCACAACGACCTTTCCATCAAGATGATAAGCATCATAAGTTAACTGTATAGTTTTTTGCACGCTTGAGTTTTAGCAGAAAGTGTAGTTCCCTTAAGTTTCTCCCGGGGGGAAGCTTCTCAACAACACGGCGTTGTCCAAGATGTCTTATCAAGTATGATTACGTGATATTTAGCTTTAAATATGACCAATATTAACAACGAGGACATTATGCGTGCTAAGAGAAACCTTTGTAAGCTCAGATACGATGACCTATCGAGCTTGGTAAAAAAAAAAACTGGATCTATAAAAAGAACGACTTACTCGTGGCAGTATAACATAACATAAATGAGAGGTACTGTCCTATATTGTTTATTTTAAATTAATAACCAGAGTATTATGTAAACTTAGTGATACATATTCGAAGGATTAGGTTTTGGTAGTAAATCATGTACGCTGTATAAGCTGAAGCTGCCAAAATGAATAACACAAACCAAACAAGGTTCTTGATCGCAGAAACTTTTGGTTAAAAAGTTCACGACTCGTCTTACCGATTATTAAGGGATCGGCTGTGTAACATCATTCGCATCGCCTAGCTACATATATATCTTACCAGTGAACAGAATCAAATTGATGGTACGAAACTGCTCTTCATGGCCAAATGAATCGTAAGCGCAGTTGTTTTCTTGAGCTGTGCTATCAGTGGCCGAGACGAGATTCTTGCAGCTAGGAGCCGATCGATATCTTCAGTATCGATGTGTCTTCACTTTTAATCTCCGGAAACCAACACTGATTGGCGCGAATTTCCTTAACTAATGTGATAAGGTGATTAAAAGTGTCCCGTGTGGTGGCTAGCTAGCTATATTGTCACGCAAAGCTATAACAGCACAATAAGAGGGCTTTTTAAAAGATCTTACAATCCTCAGGACTAGCTGTCGCAAATAAAGGTGCTTTATATCAACAATACATGAGAATCAAGTGGCGATTGAAAGTGAGTGAAAGAGAAAGACAGAAAGAGAAAGAGGGGACAATAGACAAGAGACTAAACAAATGATCAGTATATTTTATATTTCTGGATTATTTGGAATAACACCTATGTACTTCTAGTATGCAGCGCCAAATAAATTATTGGTTGCTAAATAAGGAAGGGAGGAAAAAATTGAAACTAAAGAGATAGACTTGCTCCAAGCCGACCTGTGAGACTCAGACTCATGAGTAGACCATATTTTTCAAAGCCGGTCTTAAGGTTGACTCTGTTCCTCTTCCACGATTATCATTTGCGTTCGCGTATTGCCGTGTATTTTGTGTAAAGCGCACTAAATATTCTTTCACAGCGGTTGTGCATCATAAGACGCCTAAAGAACCTTATTCTCAAGAGAATTAAATGTGGTATGAAATGGGAAGACATTACGCCCAGGTAACCTTGTAGCTGACCAAGCTTTGTTGTTATTGCACAAGATGCCACACAGCAAATCCCGATAAAAACGAGCACTCCCATACAGAATTAACCACACAGAAATTTTCCCGGAAGGACTTTAAATATGTGTTAATACACTCCTAAGTTTTGACAGCAAATCAACCTCCATAATCACCACAGCTTTAAAGATCATTTTTACCGAGTCCCGTATCCATCACCCTTCTAGCTCGCAGCGGAAGCTCCCGAAAGTGCACTTTGATTAGGCCTTGTTTATTCAGTTTGATGAGGCGTTAATGAGTTCACAAAAACAGATTTGAAGGGCCTCCAGACGCGATTTAATGATGTAAAAATAAACAAGTTCATTAAGTGCCCACTTGACGAGTCTTTGTAAGAGCGGCTTTAGCTCATGGGGTCGTGGTCAGTCCTCGTATCACAGGGAACATCAAACGATCCATTAACTTTGATTGGAGTTCTCAATTGCGGTTTGAGCTTGATAAAATTCCTTGATTTCAGCAATTATCTTCAGTGAAAAGTCAACAGGAAATCTATTATTTATTCATACAAAAATCCGCCAGACTAGATTCGTATTATCGTGGTGCAAACCTTACATAATCAAACGAGAGTTGGTATATGTTGTTCAAGAGTCAAAAAGCATTTACACGCTCAAAATCGGGTTTTAATCGCCCAATAGATTGGTTTATCGACAAAGCGTTGCAAGTCTTCGTCAAAGAACACAATATTCCAAAACTATTTCGGCTGCAAGTTATAGACTCTCACGGGTCAAAGATTAGAACTCGGAGCTTTTAAATGTGTAAAAAGTGATTGGACGGTGGTAATTAGCTGCGATATCAATTAAGTATTGAAATAACATGAATATGAAATAAATTAGAATACCAGTAAAAATGAATTGACGTTTCCTTCTTTCTTTCTGTCGTGTGTCTTTTTCTTTCTTTCTCCTCTCTCTTTCCTGTATGTATTTAATGGAACCGAGCCTATGCAAATAGCCATCAGATCATCAATCATTTTCCAAAGAGTTTCAAAAGATCCCCCTTTGACCTGGCAGCGCATTCTCGCTTGATTCAAAGAATATCCACAACACTAAATCGAGTGCACTGTCAACAATCGTGGATTAGCTAGCATGGCGAGGCCATCACAGGGCAATAGACGACTGCTATTCCATTACTATTTGACTGGGGAATAATGACTTCTAAACTTTCTCTCGGCGTGGAAATTGTAAAACAAGGGTGTCATATGATAAAATAATTATCTATCGAATATCGTGGGTTCTAATGGGCCTTTATCGATCATGTTATTCCAAAACTTAAAGGACTGAAAAATGATTACGATAACTTTGAAAGAGCATTTTAAATAAGTACAACTTTGGAAAAAAAATTTCAAATATCGTGAAGACATTAATTTTCAAAAATTTTCAAGAAAACCTTTGCTGTATGCCACTTGCCTACGCAAAGATTTTCCGAGTTGGAAACTCACACTTTAAAAAACACATCTTCACGAGTTTTGAATTTATTTCCTTCAAACTTCACAGTTTAAATAATTTTAAAATGATCATTCCAGCTATGGTTATTCTTCTTCTGTTTGACAACTAAAATACCTGATAAAAGCTCTTTGGTCCGCTCCATTTGGGATTCTCGATTGAGACTTAAATGAGACTCGAGTTTCTTCGCACACATATTCCGCACCAGCTAACATTATAAATTACAGAAAAGCGCACTCCGTAGAATTAAAAGAAGAAAAATGGAATTTACAAGTGTCAGTTAAGACTTTAAAGTCAACCACCACATTAGGCAATGCTAGATAAAATAGATATTCAACTACTTAAAACACACCCTATATTAAGACAGCTCCCCCTCCCCTCCCCTAACACGCACACACACAGGGCTCAACCCAGCCATGGCTCATATAAACTGATAAAGAATCGCCTGCCAGCCTGCTAAGCGCCCACTGATCAGGGTTAATTGCTAGAAATCTTATTGTTTCAGTTGCCTGCCGGCTTCGTTAGTTTTCCATGTGCGTAGCTGCCTAATGTTGCCTTAAGAACTGCTGTCAAAGTCGTTTGTCATATTTTTAGTTTTGGGCGGTGCACATGTATACGAGCCCGGCATGGGAAACATACGGTACTGAATTTAATACAGCACGTACTCGCAGATCAGCCTATGCCATCACAAGATTGAAATGGCACCCGTTCCATCCCTTTTTTTTTGAGTGATTTATCCAATCACAAGACGTAGCCTTGCAATGGTAAAATAAATAGCTACAATTTTTTTCATATAAAGATTGCTCTCTGGTGGTGAGTTATATAGTTTGATATCCGTTAGCAATAAATTTTTTGTTCCAATAAAAAATAATACATCGAAGACTGAACCAGAACTGGCGAAGCTACTACACGACGTTCTTCATTAGCTATATCGTAGATGAAAGATTTACGTAATACAACTAGGTGACCACTTTAAAACGTAATCAAAAGGACAAAGCAGAACTCGCGATTTGGTAATTTTAGAATAAACTGCTACCAAACATCTACTGATTCCAATTAGTCATTGCTTTGCATTTCGCGTGAATTTCTTGTTAAATTATTTCTTACATACCCCCATTTAAAAACACCCAGTTATAGCTATATTTTCTAAATTCGAATAACTAAAGACTCAATAAGGATTGATGCAAACTTACCTGTTTTTATTCGCTGATGGCTGCTCCGTCGTCGTCTCATGCATGCACGGAAAACAGTGCTTGCATAAACTGTTTATATACTCAAGTACTTTGGCAAGTACCAATGGAAGTTCGGCGCCGCAAATCATTAAGAGTGTCAGTTATCCCGGCCCCGACTCAGTCTTCTCGACGGCCTCCAACTGACCACAATAACTTCACAGCACCAGGCTGTCGCTGGCATGCGCGGCAAAACGGAAGTAGCAAAGACAAGTCTCTTGTTTGCGAAGAGTTGCAAAACATTTTCTATTGTTGAAAGAGCATGACCGGAAGTGATTCCTTTGTTTGGGTTTGGAAACGAAAGCTAGTAAAAACAAAAGGGGAAGATCTCCGAGTTAAAACTGTGAGAAAATATAGAGAATCTTCGGTCAGGACTGCTGACGCACTACGTGAAGCTTGACAAGCCCGAGAAGGAGTTTCGAAATGAGTCAAAAAGCATAAAAATTTTATGGATATCTTTTCAGGTTTTTCACTAAAAATGTAGAAATCTTTTCTCCCTCTCGTTGCAAAACCTGCTGCAAAATTATCTTTGAATTGTGTGTAAATGTCCTAACTTTTAGCGTACGTAAATCAAGGATAAATCCTTCTAATTTTTTAGCTTTGTTCTACACAGATTGGCGTACGATGAGAACATTTTCCCCTTATATCTCGGTAATCCACGTGAACGTAATCTTTTCCCGCCATAGAATACATGCCACGTTCTCGAGAATAAGACTGAAGAATTCTTGTCAAAATCAATATATCTTATTAGTAAGCACTGCTTACGAATAAAGATGCAATATTCAAAGAATGAATCATACGTCGTAGTCTGAAAACATGGGACTATAGGTCCTGTTCGCGCTCACCCTCTTAGTCCTCCTTTTTCTATTATTACTATCTTTCTTTGGTATGTTGTCAGTTATCTTTGTAGTTTTTGAAAGCCAATAAGGGAGTAACGCAGCGCGCACACACATTTTTCTTCTTCAGTGCTTGTGTCACGCAAGGGGGAAGAAGAAAAAGCAGCAGCAAAAATGTCCCAGACTGGGATGATCAGAAATTAGAGATGTGAAAGTGAATTAATTGCCTAAGTACAATGAGAACTAAACAGAAGTACAGGACTTATGGAATATCCCAATATCCTCCACCCCCTGGGAAGCAAATGAAGAAGCCTCACACCGTCAAATTGCGTCACGAAACCAAGAAACGATTAAATTTTAAACCCAAAAGATTAGTATATTAATTTGTTTTCTCCTTTGACAGAAAAGTTGGGGATAAAGAGAAAGTTTATTTTATATTTTAGTATGTCGAGCCAAAATATAAAAAAAAATGTGAGTGAATGGTTCCTTCGACTCTTGTGGGGTTACCGTCGAAATTATATTTATGGTTGTTACTTAATACTTTAAATAACGATAATCAAACAATAGAAAACGATGGATCCAGTGCCAATTATTATTATTTAAACCTCGTTTATGGTCATAATATTTGCACTCTATCTGCGCACACGCAGAATCATTCTATGGTCGTTTTAACAGAATTTCAATTCTGCCAGGGATTGTATCAGAATATTTTTTTCTTTGTACTCTAGAGAGAATAAGCTCAGAGTCAGAAAAATATTTAATATTTGCACTCTATCTGCGCACACAAATAATTCCATGTTTTAGTCATTTCTCCCGGTCGTTAAACAGAATTTCAATTCTGCCACGGATTGTATCAGAATATTTTTTCCTTTGTACTCTAGAGAGAATAAGCTTAGAGTCAGTAAAATATTCAATGAAATATTTGCACTCTATCTGCGCACACAAATCATTCCATGTTTTAGTTATTTCTCCCGGTCGTTTTAAAAGAATTTCAATTCTGCCGGAGAGCATATTAGAAAAAAAAAAAAATCGTACTCTAGAGTGAATCAGTGTCATAGTGTTACGATTTTTATTATTTCAGAATACTTCTATTTAAAAAATTGGCAACTGCCATGCCATCATGATTTATAAATAATGTTCATATTTTTCTATTTACATGGACGATTAGTCCTCGATAAATACCGTTGCAGAGTGATTTTCACACACTGTGTGAAACAAAGTGTACTAATCAAGGTGTAATAGTCAGTTAACACAATAGAATAGTTTTCAAAAACCCGTGAACAAAGTGTTATAACTAAGGTGTAATAAATTGAAAGAAAATCAAAAGAAAATGTGGACAATAAAGTGTATTGAAGTGTAATACGCTAAAGTGTATTTCACGGGTTTTTGAAAACCACTCTATAATGAGATGGGAAATAATAAATCAGTACTAATTTCATTAAAGAGAAGTCCAAAGTACACGCGTCAGTTCGAAGTATATCGCTATTAACTATAGTTAGTCTTATGAAGTCAAAATTGATAAATTGGTTTCGTTACTAACTATGTATACATATACATATGGTATTTCCTAAAAAAAAGTCAAATTCGTTCATTTGCAGAACCCAACATGGGTTATATTAACGTTCTATTTTGTTATAAAAGCAAAATGTGGTCAGTGCTGTACCTGCTAATACGCAAAATCATACCTGCTGCTAAAGCCTAGACAAATGCCAAAAATTAATTCACTCAATAAACCTAGTAAAAACATAATAATATGTGCTAAATAGCACAGCTTAGAATTCGATAAAAATAGATAAAGGATTTTATTATATAATTACCTATGAAATATCTATTTTTCTCTATTTCGAAAAATTGATATCTTCACACGTGAAAATAACATGTTATTTTCACGTGTGAAGATAACACTATTGCGATTGCGATGGCTCTTCAAAAATACACGGAAAGAATTGCCTGAAAAAGCCACAACATACTTTCATTGATAATTATATAATAATACTCGTGAGAGATCTTTTCAACACGAGAAGATAAATTTCGTATCTCCAAGCGCCCATGTAATATCCTCTATTTACATGATCTAGTACTATTTATAATTTTTTTTTTTTCTTGAGTTTATTACATAAAAAAGTTCTTTTTCTATGGAACATTCTTACCCAAGTTAAATCACGGAATCTAAACGGTAGCGAAGCATTCTCCGACATAAATAGAGGATATTACATAGGCGTGCGGAGATACGAAATTTATCTTCGAGTGTTGAAAAGATCTCAACACTCGAAAATAAATTTCGTATCTCCAAGCGGCCATGTAATATTCTGTTTATCATATAATTATCCATAATATTAACTTAACAAGCTTTTTATTATTATAAACTTTATAAACTAATAGCTTAAATACACATGGTAAAGATATTTTCACATGTGAAAATATCAGTTTTTCGAAAAGGAGAAATATAGGTATTTTATGGATAATTATATAATACTGTGTTATGGCTTTCCATGAACACAGCCCCTCAACTCCCCTCCTCGGCCTACAGAACTTATTTCTAAATTCAAGACATATCCAATCTGAATAATTATCATTACTATTATCTATCTTATTAATTATCCGCTAGCAAAAGAAAAATTAAAAAAAAATTTTTTTGACAACATTGTATGACATCGTAATTTGTCAAATTCAATCGAAGTCGATCTAAAATAATTCTTGAAGTTTTTTGATCTGATTTTAAATCTTTATGGCCTTATTGGCGAAATTCATTCATAGCAGATAATATATTACTGACATATATCTATTGGGACATTATAAGAGGATGCTCTGTTATTTGATCCACAAGTTCAGTCCAAGAAGATCTTTCGGCCACAGGTAACCCAAGTTCTTTTCTTACCAAAAAGTCAACATGGAACAAGTGCTCATCCTCGTCCTCAGCATCGGGGACTTGTTCTCTCATAAAGTCCGTAAGCCGAAAGAGATATTCTACGTTTAGGCCACATCTACCACGAGCACGAGCGATTTGTTGGGCTAGTGTCTCAGTGGGTTCGTGTCCAATGAAGAGAGGATTTGCTGAAGTAGCGATGTATAAAAACACAGAAATGTTTTCGTTCTTTTTTGAATTTTCATGTGCGTGGAATGGCTTCACGTGAAGTTCGTAGCCACCATGCTTGACTTCTCGTTGGAAGAGCTTTCTGAAAGCATTCTTGATGTGGTCTCTTGGCAATTTGAATGCAACTCCCCAGACTTTACCCTAAGAATTTAAAAACTGATTAGATTTCATGCAGATTAGATTTCAATCCAACTGGATAAGTTCACTAGCTTGGTCCCCCTTTCTCTCTTGGAACTCTGTATTTGTCTGTATGTCTGTAGGTCTGTCCGTCTGAGTCCGTCTGTCTGTCACATTGCCTTTATTTTCAGATCTAAAGATAAAAAATAGGTAAAATTCGTGGCTGATTCACTGAGATTGAAAAGTAAAAAATAATTCAAACTTGAGGTTCGTTTTATCATGCAAATTTGTTTTTCGACGTTCTCTGAAAGTTTATTCACGAACAGGAAAACGACTTCATCAAATTATTTGTTACTCACAGCTATTGCAAACTTTAACACAAATTATACTCTAGTTGCGTTTCTTTTCTGTAATTTGAAAATCTTGGAATTACAGCTTTTATCTACGTCATTATATATCGAAAATAAGAAGTAAAAAATATACGAAAATACATCCAAGCCCACGTGACGTAAGCGTGTTTCGTATTCAGCACCAATTTATTGCAACAGGTAAAATACCGCACTTATGAAATGTGGTTTTACGCGTTGGCCGACCGAAATCCAAACAGGTCCCCAAAACCCGTTTAAACTGAAGCGGTTCCAGAAGATTTAATCTTTTTTCCCGTCTTTATTTTTAACTTTCTCATGAATGGATTTAGTAGAAAGAGTAAGTATAGAGAGAAGGGGCGGTAGATGTGACGCATTTTAGGGAGTTCCCAATTTTTGAGCTCAAATTCGCTTAAATATAGAATGTAAATATTATTCTTAAATTTTAATTAAATTAAACGAAATAAAAACACATACACAAACTAGTGTTGTCAAAATAAGCTTATACGGGGATTTTAACTGAGGTTTCGACTGTCTGTCGAACAACCGCGTCTGTCGCTTCATTTAGTATAATTGAAAAAATAAACGAAACGCTTGCACGCCTCCACTTCACTTCTCTAACATTAGTTCGCTCGTTATAAGTTTCCCTATTTTGACTGAGATCACTTGAAAGAAGGCTTTGGGTACTGGAAATCAAAATCATCCAGAAAGACCTCAAAAAAGTCAAAATAATGTTACAATATGAAGATGCTTAGAAAAAACCTAAAATGTCCTGAAACCGCAAAAATATTCCAAAGACGGCTACACTCTGTGGAACTGTTAAATAATATTAATAAAGTTTAAAGGAAAGATTTGGGCGTCGAGAATTCCGTTTTACTAAGATATAGCAAATATATTGTTATTGTATATTGTCTAAATGTCAAGTGTCATTCAACTTCGTAATCCTATAACCTAACGTATTCAAAATGCTAAGACATTCAATACAAATATTGTGTTATTATATCAGTGTCATTAAACCCAGGAAAAACGAACTCAAATAAATTCCAGTAATTCTAAATATTATCATTTATAGTTCACAATAACCTAGACTCAATTTCTCCCGTACCTCGTTTTCTTCGACCAGGGTGACGACCCTTCCAGGCTGAAAAATCAAAACAAACATTTGTAAGAATTTTGACGACTCTTTCCTATGAAAACATGATTCCCAATTCTGTACCTTTTCTTCGTTTCCGCGGTGCCATGTACTGCCTTGCCAAAATCTTCTCACAAAACCTTGGACCCATCCAACGTGTTGTTCTTCGTACGGGAAATCAGGATTCCAAGTTAGAGAGCCATACCCGAAAACCCATACATTATTTGATTCTTCAAGTTGTAGCGAATCGGCTAAGGAAGACACATCTTCTACTTTCATTTTTTCGACAGAATATCAATTTCTCTATTAGTTTGCTGATTTTAAACTTACGGACCTGTAGCTCACTGAAAAAACGATCACATTGTGGTTTTCCTCGGTAGTTTCACGCTACACTTTATTTACATTCAAGTTTAATCACGTTGCAGTCGAATGGGGTACTTATCTGACGTCACGAGTTTTTACAACCAATCATTATTAAGTATATGCTCACATAATTGTTTTGTTCGTAAGTGGCTAGTTCCTTCTGATGCAATAGATGTGAGGATTTCAGTTGGGTAAACGGAGTTCAATATTTTATTTGCTTTTTAAAAAAATGCTTTGAGGGTGATATTTAGTCTACATAGACAGCAGAATAGACAAACGTTGTCAATAAAATGACTATGAGATGCTATGCGGGAAATGAAACTTAATTTATGCAAGTGAAATGGCTTGTTATGGGAAGCCGCAACGAGTGTTGCGATTTATGCATAATGTACTCAGGTCTAAAATGTAGAGCAAAAATAAGTTTGCCATTTTATTTGTACGCGCCTTGAAAACCCTTCGAGTGATAGTGATGCAAGTTTTTACGATTTTCCGTTCCTTAATTGTTGCCCTTAGATTTATTTATGATTGTAAAAAAAAAAAATAAAAAATAAAAAAAGAAGAAGAAGAAGAAGAAATGAAATAGAGAAAATAAAAATAGAGAAAGAGTGAAATAGAAAGAAGACTTTTAAATTTGTTGATTCGCTGATGATTGATGACGAACTACAGCTTTCGTTATAAGTCTGGCTTACATGTAAAGGTGTTTTTCATTTTGAGCAGCTACAAATTAATTGTAAGCTGTTTTGTATGAACAAGGCCGGTAACACAAGCATAATATCCAAACCTCCCTTTTATCATCTTACAATATAAAAACTTTTATGCAGTCTGATTGACCTCATTTTCAAAAATAATAATAATAAAATAAAAAGAGGGGAAAAAAGAGTGAGAGAGAGAGTGAGAGAGAGAAAGAGAGAGAGAAATGAAAGAACAAAAACAAGTCCCATTGAGTTGTTGATAGAATTTTCTTGGCTTCATAACTTGGATACTTTCAAGTATCTTTTATTTGTCCTGGGATATTCTTCCAACATAGAAAGCCTTCAACAAACTATTGATGTGATTTTTCACTATTCCGTGAGCCTTTTGGGAATGGAATCCTCCAGAAGAGTCGTCTCCTGCATTGCGAAAAATAGCTTTCCCTCCTGGATGTTCTGTCACGTAAGGCGTCACGTCATATACCTAAACATGTCACGCGAATATACGACTATTTCAAAAAAGGTTGAATACTGAATACTGAATCATACTGAATAGTGCATTCCAAGACCTGCGAGGCAGGGTATGCTATGCTCAATTTTCCCCAAAAACTATATGATTATACCCTTCGTAATCTTTGTAAAATAGCAAAGATTTACACTCAAATTTGTCAAAATTAATGCATAAATGTATCGTATTCCAAATAGATCGAAATACTTTACCTTTCCATCGATTATAATCCATAAATCGTCTTCTGATTTATGCTGTTTGACTTCTTCCAACTCCACGATTCGATCGTCCATTACACCGCAACCAGAGGACTGGAACGAGACAAGCTCTATCTCTTGGAAATTTTGGAATGGAATAAAGGAGTTCTGAACAGAAAGGATCGCTGGAACATTCTATAATTCTCTTACCATTTTTTCGAAGTTAAGTAAAATGACTTTGGATAATATTCATTAGCTGTTCTCCCACTATTCTGCATTCATCCCATTTATTTTTGGAGGGGCCACTTAGCGATTCCAGGTTCTCAGTGGATTGTAGACAACGTTTTAAAAACCTGAAAAATTTAAATTAAAAATAATTTTAGAACTAGTCACAAAGTTGAGCAGAATTTTATTTAATGTTATTTGGATAAACTGAGTTATTTGAATGAATGAACACTCAAACGAACGAAGGAATGAATAAATATACGAACGAGCGTACGAACGAAGTGAACGAACAAAAGAACGAACAGAACGCACTAACGAACGATAACTAACGAACGAATGGATGGATAGATGGATGGATAGATGAATCATTCAAGAATGGGTGAAAGGTGGGATTATGGAGAGATAGACAACTGGATAGATGATTAAAGAATGGATGAACGAATGGGATGGATTTCAAACAGCACTGTATTTTCTTTAATCCAGGACTTCATTACATACTTGACATATCTAGCCCTTGTTTTGTCACTATTTGCTTGTAAAGATGGAAGCTCAATCAGTATGAACGCCAAAACAACTTTGATAACATTCTTGAACAAAGGCAAGAGTGACAACAACCTCTTGTAATTTGCCCTTTGACGGGATCTCAATTCCTTTTTGCTCCACTGCTGATAACGTTGGTTGGCTGTATTCAAGACCTGCAAGTGAACGAATTATTTGAAAGTGAAACTGCTACTGAAAAAAAAAGTACTAAAAGGTACTAATATTTCTCTTGAGGAACTGGATCTCTTATAAAGATTTCTTTTCAAACCATAGTTAATAACTACCAACTATTCTATTAACTATGTTAAAATCCAAGGTGCCCATTTCTTTATTTGATTTTTATGGTTGAAAGTCAGGCTGCTGTGAGTGATCGATCAGACACAAAGACTTTCTGACCAGTAACTCTTTTACCAACTTGTTTTGGATCTATTTTTCAAAAACCATCAAAGGCATATGTAATCAAGGAAATATTATATATATTATATATATTATTACCAACCTGGGAAGATAAAATGCTGCAGTGATGTACAATGTTGCTCAACAATGACACAACTTCAAGCTCCTTTTTAGGCCTGTAGAGCATTGGTACTTGAATTTTATCACAAAGTAAAGAAATAACTCTTGAAAACTGCCCATCATCCAACAGCATCTCCAGATCACATGTATCCATGACAATGCCATTCAAGATCAGTTCTTGACCATGATAAAAAATAAACCTTATGATTTTTAGTGTCTTTTCCTGAGCTTCAAATAGCTCAGAAACAGATGTCATTTCAAATTCTGTTTCTGGTAAAGGAATATGTACCCACCCATCAATAGCATTGGTCAAATCTTTGACTTCACTTTTAAGCATTGCAATTGGATGGAACACAGATTGGTAGCTTCTTGCTTTCAAAACAATTTGTCTTATGATGTCGGAATTGCTTGATAGTTCCATGTTAGAGCAATTTTGAATATTTTCACCTTCAGTGACAGTAGTCTCTAACTTACGAGAACATAAAAAATTTTCCTGTGTACTGTCAGTAGTTGCTTCTATGGATAACGATTTTCCAGTAGTTTCAGTATATTTATCAGTTATATTTGTATTAACTTTAATAGAAAGATTTTCCATTAATTCTGAGGCAAAATGTGTAGCAAAAACAACACAAATGCATAATACATGATTGCTCAAATCTGAAGGGATACAATCAAGATCTACTTCACCATGACTTATTCGGTCCCGCAGCCTTGGTCCATCAGTGTAAACCAGAATATCGAGCAGCATTTGCAAGAATTCATCACCTATCTCTGTTCTGAGCTGGTTTTCAGTGCCCCCAGGAAGTGATGGAGCTAAGATCTAAAAGGAAAATTTGTTAAGAAAATTCAAAATTTTTCTCTGATGTTCATATATAAGATTATACTAAAACAACAAATTATTAACCTCAGGCTCAGTGAAATATGGTGAATATTAATCTTTCCCCTTAAAGTCTCGCAGCTCCGTAAATATTCAACAATATTCTTTTTACTTTTGGTAAAAAAAGTATTCAAGTGATGACGTCACAAAAATCAATTTTCGCTTGATCATATTTTTGGTTAACAACATTTTGATAGACAATCAAAAAAGACGCTTACACACAAAATTTGACAAGAATTGGACAAATATCAGCTGAGATATGGTCATTTGAATATATAATTACCCCATATGAATCACTGTATTTTCAGCTAAGTTCAAAACGTTTTGAACTAAGCAAAAAATACACTGATTTTGATGGGGTAATTATATATTCAAATGACCATATCTCAGCTGATATTTGACCAATTCTTGTCAAATTTGGTATGCAAACGCCATTTTTGATTGTCTATAGAAATAAGAGATCGAAAACAATTGACTGTTTTCTCAAGGTTGCGCGTGCATTCAAATTTAAGAAACTCAATGGGCCACAATACCAGAACATGAGCTTTATGATGAGTATTATCATGCATTACTATGATTATTTTCTGATAAGAAATCATAAAATTAATCATTCTCCTCTTTAATAAAACTGGCTTGAGATCAATTTTACTGAATTAGCATTTTTCAGTTTTGTGGCCCATCAAGTTGGATGCGCGTGCAACCTTGAGAAAATAGTCTATTAAAACCAAAACTTATCTTTTCGTAATGTCACACTTGAATACTCTATAATCAGGTACCTCATCAAATGTTGTATATAAAGTTGTTGATTCTGCTGTTAGGATCCTCTTGGGACAATTATTGGCATGAGCAAACACCATTCTTAGTGCATGTTCCAGCAAAGGCAGCAAAACAATCAATACAAGATCATATCTACAGTCATAAATGGTAAAAATATCATTTGTTAGGAAAAGCACAGTACAGTTAGTTCCTCTATGGATGGTGGTGCTGTCAAGGAGTCCAGTTAATCTTAGTCATTAACTTAGTTAACTTGCATTGCCCTGTGCTCAGAACTGTGACTTATGACAAATTGGCAAATATATAATGTTTAAAGGTGTTTTATAGTCCTTGGTATTGGTCCTGTATGCCACACAGGCATAAAAGATAATGATGACACCATTAAATCCCAGTTACCAGCCCTCCCCCCTTCAGGTGAGATGTGGTGGACTGTGGCTCCCCCCCCCCCCCTTCAGGTGTGATGTGGTGGACTGTGGTTGGTTACCATGCTTAACCCCTTGCTGCTAACGAGTAGCGCATACATTAGGTTGCCATTAAGACACCAAGCTCATCCTCATCATTGAATGCTATTTTTCACATATCCTATACCTTTGTTCTTCATAACACTGTAGAGCTTTTTTCCAAATAGGCAACATGCTTGGGGCTATAAACAAGCTAGATGTAAACAGATAATCCTGGATAGCTGAAATGCATTTGATGGATTCAATATTTGGGAAGATGCAAAGCCTGTCTAGTTGTGTAAGCTTTATCTGTGGCCGTCTCTCAATCTTAATAGCAGCAAATCTGGAACTTATTGTTGCCATGGTGAAAACAAGGAATGAAACAAACCTGAAACAAATATATTTTAAAACGTTAAGAAAATTAGTGAACAAATTATGTATCCAGGGTTGGAAACAATTCAAGCAGTTGGACTATGCAACATGTTCAGTATGTCTGATATTGCAGAAACATATTTATTCCCAACCCTCAAAGGGGTATCCTGTGGACTCTCATCACTATGATTTTAAACTTGTGGATTCATGTATTTATCATATGACCTGTATGGCCCTACTTGCGCACTCTAATAAAACCATTGGAAAAATTCACATGATGGGGGCCGGACGGGTTGAAATGAGTGAGCTGGAAAACCTGATTTACATGCACTGTATTTATAAATCTTAGCATTAAATTTTCAGCCTTTTTAAATGTACAGACCTAGCACATTAACTATCCTGTGGACTCTCATTACTGCAATTTTAATCTGGATACACGTATATCTTAAACCCCTGTTGGTTTCCCCCTGTTACCTATCCATGGTCCCAGGAAGTTCATGATAATGTAACTCCATTGTATATTTATAAATACACTTACTGAGGAGGGATTTCACAAGGAGATACAAAACCATGCCATAGCACATTCCTAAGGTTAATACTCTCGGGCGGCCCTGCCATAGCATAGAGTATCAAGCTGACATCCTCACCCAGTAACTTTCGAATTGCTTCAGATGCCAACAGGTCTTTTAGATTTGAGGGAGATTTCAAACCAGTATAAGATGCATAAACATCACCAAGGGACCGTTCCAATATAGCAAACAGCAAGAGAGAAGAAAGAATAACATTAACAGGTTCTTCATTACTTTTCTTCAACAACTTGAAGCATTCCACAATCCTGTGCTTACAGTCAGTCCAGTCCAAGTCCATTCCAAAATTTCCTTCAAATTCTTCAACGGTAAGCTGCATTAGCTGTTTGTGAACATAATGAACGAAAGGAATAAGCTGTTTTACCGTATTTGCAAAATTCAAAGACCCATCGGAATTTTTCGCTAAAGAAAGTTTGGCAACTGTATCCAAAAGTTGAATTTTCTCTTTATGGTTACCCGTAACTCTTTTCCCTGCCAATAGTTGTATGACTTTTTCCTTTTCTCTTTGAGAATTTCGAGTATATTCTAAGTTTAATCCACAGATTAAGTTATAAACTCCTTCGGAAAGACAAGAAGTTCTTCGTGTAAACTGCTCTACTTCGTAAACTTCTTCAGCCATTTGAATATTTGCAATCTCTATGAAGCTATAAAATCAAGGCAAAAAGCCAAGGAGACGAAAATAGACCACCCAAACGTCACAAAGTTTCAAGTGGACAATACGCTGTAATATTATGATAATTTCTAGGTTAACCTCTGAAAATAGCTAAAGAGAAATAGGTCCTGAGTAACTTCCCCGCAACTTTGCCCGCCATTATTGATTTTAATTTTGCAGACCACAGGCAACCCAAATAGCGTTTTTAGGTAGATCTTTGTTAAAAAGTTTTGAACGATATATTACATTATAGAGTGGATTAAAATTGAAAAAAATTGCAATAATTGGCATACAAAACATAAAGTAAACATATTTTTCTTCTTATTTAAAGAAGGATTAGCAAAATTAGTCAATCTTTAATAGACACTCTACTTTGGGTTACCTTTGGTGGAACCAGACAGGCCTGGTTACCCGATTCCAATTTTGAGTCGAGATTATTTATTGAAGTTTTGTGTGAACGGATTTATAAAAGAAAATATTCCACGCCCGTCTGATAATCGATACATATGCTCCTTCAGCACACAGTGAGCTGTTTGAGATCACTATGTTTTTATGTGTGATGCATTTGGTCGCGTCTTTTGTTATGGACGACTAACTGTATTAGTCTTCGTAATCATACACAACTATAATTCGTATATACAGTATAATGTTATAGATTGAAGAGCAAGAAAAGAGATCCACATTTTCTAACGCTTGATTTTGAATATTGTTCTTCAAATTTAGTCCAAAAGCCTTGAATCATGCAAGTTGACGAAGAACATTTAACGTGGCCATTTGATGTAAGTAATATAACTTACCATTTATGTCTTACCAAATTAATTATTTCATATAGGTAAGCTTACACTGTATATAGGCTAGTTTGATCTCCTTTAAACATTTTTCTTCAAGGTAGACCTGTTAAGTTTTAAGATTAAAAGTTAAAGGGCATATCTTTAAGCAGGTTTCTTAATTTTTCATCAGGTGTCAAAGACAAAACTCTCTCCAAAGTTTATGGCTGGGAGAGGAAGAGTCTTATTGGAAATATCAAAGTCCCCTCTTTATGCCCAGGTTGGTAATTCTAGATTTATGTTCAATATATAGAGATTTTTTATTTTCTTTTTTCCTTCCTTCCTTCCTTTTCCTTCCTTCCTTTTCCTTCCTTCCTTTTCCTTCCTTCCTTTTCCTTCCTTCCTGCCTCCCTCCCTCCTTCCTTCCTTTCTTTCTTTTCTTTCTGCAGGTATGAATATTCTGAAATCATAACATACATGTAAAATATTCAATTACATCACATATTTTGTAGGAATTTGCAAAAAGAAAAATAATTCAAGAAATGCTGATCAAAGGAGAACTCAAATTAGACCAGGTAAATGGGAATTTGAATGATACAACAGAAACATTGTCTGAGTAAACTACATCTTTCGTTTCAGTTAATTGTTTTTCTAATAGAATATTTGCTGTCATTTTTTTAGAAGAACATACCAACAGAATTACTTCGGATGAATTCTTCTTACACACTTCTGAAAAAAGCAGAGTCTCATTATATCAGAGAACCAGTTATCAACCAAAAGGAATTTAAAAATGATCTGTCAACTAGTGTTACAACTCCACAGACTAATTTTAAAACTGATAAAATGCAATACAACAGTAATACCTCAGAACAAGGTGATAAACTTGAAGAGAAGAGTGTCAAAAACAAGATATTGCCTTTGTCAACAAGTGCAATATCAAACAAGTGCTCTATAAGAGAGAATTCTGCAAAGGATTACAGCAGAAAGAATGGTATAGGTGCCAAGCCCTTACGTAAGCCAGAAAAATCAAGAAAACAATATGTTACTCCACCAGAAAAAATGAATAACGTCAGTGTTACCAGTCAAAGTAACTCAAATGTAGAGGAGAGTCGAGAGAAAGTAGTGACTAGTGGCAACAATGTCTGGGTTGACTGGGAGAACAGTGTCATAGTGCATGGATCATTGGATGATGAAGACTTGCCAGAAATTGCTACAGTGGAAGACAATGATGACATCCATGATGTCATTGTAAATCAGTATATTGATGCTTTACAACATGAACAAACCAACAAAATTCCGGAACAAAACCGCAAAATAACCCCTAACAGAGTGCAACAGTTTAGTAAACTTAAATCCACGACCAATGCCGACTGTTTGAGGGTGTCTCCTGGAACTCAGCCTAACCTCCCCAAGGGCGATGACAGATGGGGTGGCTCTGAATTAAATGGTATGAGTGCTAACACAGGATGGGGAACTTTTAATAATGGGAACAGAAACCAATATGATGATGGATCTTCAATGTGGAGTGCCGAGGGTAGCCAGTATGGGGGAGCAAACTGGAGTAATGCATCTTGATTTTTTTATTATATGTTGGTGAAATATATGTTGTTATCTTAGAGGGATTTTACAGCAGCCATCCTTTTGGGAAAACTAATAAAGAAGTTCATTTTGAAAATGAAATAGCTTTTTATGCTTCTGAAAGCATTGTATTGTTACATTCATAATCAAACTATCCTCAGGAACCCAGGGGAAGAGTTTTATCGCTCCTTTCTCACTCCCAGAAAAAGCTGGGGTCGACCAATAAGCATCAAGTATATGTAAACAAAAATGCAATGGCATTATTTTGAATTCAAACTTCCGGAACAAGGTCTAACAGACTTCATGGTTAGGGGTATTTTTTCTGGGAGCAAGAAACAAGCAACAGAACTTTACCCCTTGTTTCCCGAGGATGTGACCAAATGACCGACCAAATAGGTTGTTGCTGGTGAAGTCCTTCTATAGAAAAACAGATTTTGTTGTATAAAATGTATCCTAAAAAAAGGCTCTAAAAGAGATTCCTTCAACTAAATTATGCTACACTACAATACCAGTATATTTGTACCCTTAAGAACTCTGTCTAATAATGTTATCCTTCTGGAACAACTGATTGTATAACTTACACTAAAATATACTCTGATCCTTTAATGTAAAATCTTCTATTCAATTTGTTAATTGGGTGATAATGGTAAATACTTTAGTATGTGATTGAGAGGGAAAGGTGAAGTATGTAATAAAATGGCTGCATATAGACTATTTTAAAAAATATTTGCAGTCAAAAATATTTTTTTTACTTATGGAATTTTATTATAATGCTAAGTCTGTCATTGCATGGGAAAGAAGCAAAATTATTTTTTATTCTGATGCTTGTAAATCTTGCAAATAAAAAGCTTTTTTATCATATTGAAACTTGCAAGCTTTTGTGTTTTTCTGCCCACAAGGGCTTGGGGGATGGGGAGTGGGGATGTGCACTCAGTCCACACAGAAAAGTAAAGATATTTAATGTTTGTGAACACATGTGGATCTTTTTGCCCTCCTCAGTTTTTCAAGGCTTGCTATGGCTCCGTAGGGCCACTCCATCCCTCCTCCCAAATATTTCACCCCCCTCCACACTTTTCAGGGGTTTTCTTAATAAATCCAATTTTTTGGTTTTTCCAGCTTTCCAAAAATGAAAATCATTTTAAGCATAAAATGCACCTTCCCCACTTTACCCATCACTTATTTGAGCAACAGATTGATTTTACGATCCAGCATCAGCAGTCCTGGAATTCCAATTCCTGATTTTCCGACCAATCAATTATGTTGTTCTAGCAACCAATCAAATCGCTAACACCAGAGCGAGGCAGCTTCGAAAAACAAGGCGCCATTTTGAAAGCGTGATTCCTTCAAAGTAAATTCCGTTCAACTTTACCTTCACAATGTTAAGATTTTATTGCCTAAAACCTGACTATTTCATATCGTTCTATCGTCTCTAATGAGTAATGAATATAAAAGATTGCTATCCGATGAGAAAACGACGTTCTCTTGATAAAACTCCGGGCCGTTCGACGAATAATGACGGTGAGTTTTAAGAGGCAGTCTCTGTAAAAGCGGCCCACTACATTTCGGGTCAGAAAATAGTTTTCCCTCAAACTTTTACCATAGAAAGGTAATTACTAGTAAGTAATGAAAATGACTTTATTTTCTCGAAATTCATCAAAATGATTTTTTTACAGCGCATAA